TAAAAAATAACTTACGTGGTAAAAAATCTCAAACATCTTTTTTTACGTGGAAAAAATTCTTTTTACTAGTCGCAAAAGAAAATTTACTTAAAAAAATATTTTTACTAACCGTAAATGAACTATTTACGCGGTAAATGATTCATTTACCATAAAAATTGTTATTTATTTCAAATAGTTAAAATATGCTATTTACTTAATTTAGTTTCAAAATTATGTTGTTTATTGCATTTTTCCTTGTTTTTTTTTAAGTGAAAATGTGTTCTCAGAACTCGGAAAACGTGGAAGTTATTGTTTTGGGATTAATTTCATAAATTTCCTCCAAACTATGTATTCTTTTTCAAAATGTCTATGATGTTTCAAAACCATTCACCCTTGATATATAGAAAACAAATCAAAACACTCACTCTATCCATTTTCGTTCATAAACTTAACAAATTTTGTTGACACGACATGTAATGAAAATATTAAATTCTAATTAAACTTATCAAAATGATTTAAGTATTAAAAAAATTAAATGAAAAAAGAAATTTAAAAACCCCCTTTAAAAAGGGGTTAATTATTAAAAAAAAATAGTCTTCAGCATCTAAAGAATAATAAAAAAAATCTTCTGAAATTAGTTTTTAAGTGATTCATAGGGAAACCAAAAAACACCTCAAGACCGTGCGCTTCTTCTCCACCACCTTCTAAATTTTTTAACCAAACTTTGCCCTCACAAAGCTCTAATAGTACTAAATCTGTATCACTCCCAATCTCTTCTGTTAGGAATGCTGTCTTAAAAATATGAGATGTAATAAGATATTTATTATTTATTTAATAAAAGAGATCATTCATTATTTTATGTGCATATACTATTGAATATTTTATGAATATCATTGAAAATTCTATGATTATTTATGTGACCATAAATATTGTATATAAGAGTTATATACGAGAGGATAATATTTAAAGATAATAATCGAAACGTGTTTGTAATGAATTTAATTGAAGTTTCAAAATATTTAATTAAAATATTACTTACTAATACATGTCATTCTCATTAGCAATGGAACAATGTTATCCGCACTGTTAACATGGGGAGATATTTGATGAGTTTATTACGTATAATGAGATTACGTGGAATCGAGACACAGACACAATTTGAATTTCTAACAATTTCCGTTAAGTATAGAAATTCGAATTGAGTCTACCGATGGTCATATATAGAATGATTTTAATCATGAGTTATTAGCATACTTCTATTTATGAATTTGTGCCTTTTGATTTACTCGGTACGGATTTTGAGATGTTGAATCACATTTCTTATATCTTAGAGACATGGTGAAGCAGATGAATAATTCTCTTGAGGGTTGATTTGATACTTTAATTAGTAGGAGCTCTTATTCATGAATTTGTTTTATGAATCATTATCAATTAGAGAATCAATGGTACTCAAAGATAAAGATGTAATTAGAGAGGTTAACGAATTTCACCTAGCTCTAATTATGAATTATGTATGGAGGATTGATCTATATCTAACGACTATATCAAATGGACACTTTATAGTTTGGAAGTAAATTACATCTATAATTACGAGAGTACAATTTCAAGTTTATAGTGGAGTAACTTTGGAATTAATGGAATTAATTAATTAATTATTAATTTTATAGGACCTCAGAATTATAGGTTCACGAGTCCCCGCCTCGTCCTTATAATTCTACAAGACACTAAGGACAAAATGGAAATTTTAAAATTATGAAATTCTAAATAAAACACTCAAAATTAATTAATTAAGAATTAATTAAATATTAAACAATGTAATTATTTAATTTGAATTTTAGAACACACATGTGGAAGGGTCCATGTGATGTACACACCCAGCACTGTATGAATCTCTTTGGGATTCAATTGTTTGCTTTTTAAGTTATCCAATTGACTTATTTGATAAGTTATCTAATTAGAATTCAAATTAACTAGAATTTGAATTTGAGTCAAAATTAGATTACAGGATAAGGGAATTTTTTTTTTCTTCCCCTATATGTAGGGGACGCCAACCATAGGGGATAATAACCCTGTAGTGGCCGGTCATATTAGGATAAGAGAGAGAGGATTTTGTTTCTAAAATAACTTAAAAGTGGGAGATAATTATAAAGTTTTATCTTAGAAATAAAGATTATCTTTCCTTTGGAAGTCTAATAGCTACTCCATAAATAGGAGATTACAGGAAATTGGAGAACGTAATTTTACTCACCCTTACCTATAGTGGTTTGTTTTATAGTGTGACAAAGGAGAAGAAAAGTTCTTCATCTTAGTTCCACATCGTGCATGTGTTGGTGTTCGTGAAAGACTTGAGTGTTTTGAGTGCTAATTCTATTTTGTTTCAAGTGTACCCTCACACACGTCTTCATAGATCCAAGAAATTGACGAGGAAGATTTGGGTGTTCTAAACTAGCTTGGAGTGAGGAACGTTCGAGGTCAAAGAATTTAAGTTATCGTCCTAATCGGTTGCTAGGTAAATAAATTAATTTGATTAATTTATTCGTGCATAATTAATGTAATCTATAAAGTATTTCAAAGTTTTATAAAAATGTTATACACAATCTGTTAAACACATGCTTCCGCATCCGAAATTGTTTCAGAAACCAACAATTGGGACTTTGTTATGTAGGTTTCATGTGATGTTTTTCTTTTGCATGTATTTAAACTTTGTTCTTGCTGGAACTTTTTATTACCTAAATCTAGGTTTGGACTTTGGTGTTGGAACTTTATTATTTATGTTTGGGACTTTGGTGTGAGTCTTATGAACTATATTTTCTAGTAGAATTGTGGTATTTTGGGATTAAACTTGTTTGCCTATGGTATGACTCATGTTTTATTATTTTGGTATTGAACTTGTGGTCTTATGATGTTTTCTTATGAATTATGAGCTATGGTACTTTGTTAATTGTTATTATTTTGGAAGGATTTTATTAATGAATGATATATGTAACAGGTTATAAACTTTAAGATCTTTATAAAATGTATTGAAATCTACAATTTTGTGTCAACTTCGGTTCAACAGTTTCGTTTTGTATCTCAAGTTCGCGGGTCAATTTCGTGTGACGTGTCACTTTCGGTTCGTGTCGTGTTAACCCGCAACCTTACCGTGTCGTGTTCATGTCTCGGTTCTCAATTTTTTTTCGTGTCACGGGTCATGTACAGGTTGCATAAAAAAACTAACACGGTACAAACACGACACGAACATAACACGCGACACAAATTGCCACCCCTACTCGTTAGGACTGGAGAGCTCATCAAGAGAGAAAAGAGATAAAGTCGACTATCAAAAAAGAGATAATTTTTTTAATTTCAAATTTATTTACTTTATTAAAAAATATATTGGTTTATATTTAATTAATAAGGATAATTTGGACACTTTATATCCTAAAAATTGGTCCAAAGATACTAAAAAAAACATTTTCTCAAACCTCAAGATACTAACTTGATATTATCAAAAATCCAGGATACTAAACACATATTTCTATATAACACAGGTACTAAAAGTATAGCCTTGTTAATATATGTAAAACATACAAATACAATTATACAATCTAGTTTTTTCTTTTCTTTTCCATAATCAACTACAAGCCTTATGTATGTATAAAATATACAAAGGAATAAATCTATGAATAGTCTTTATAGTTAATTTTGTCTCATAAACAATCCCTGAATTCTAAAAACGTTTTATAAATGGTCCCTCTGTTAAATTTTGAATGGAAACCGCTAATTTTATCTCATAAAAGTGCCCGTACTATCTAATTTCTCTATAAATGGTCCATTTATTAGAAGTTGTACTAAATTTAGTTTCAAAACTAATAACAATAACAATAACAAAAACAATAATAATTATAAAAATAATAATAATAATAATAATAATAATAATAATAATAATAATAATATGATGTTAAAATTAGTTCATATGTTAAATAAATTGATAGAAAACATTAAAGATGAGTAGGTGTAAAAATGTAATCCCTAAATTAAGAAGAAAAAAAAGTGATTCTATTTACACTCATTAAGCTTCTATATAACCTCACATGAATAAAAATATTTTTGTTTTTTATTACAATGCATAAAATAATATATAATAATTGTACCATACACTTTCGTGTACAGTGGATTGCAGTTTGCAGTTAATTGCTTTTATTCTTTCTTTAGGGAACTTTTTTTTTTTTTTGCTTGCTTGAATTTTTATTGATGATATAATAATCATTTAGGAAATGGAAAATTGCATATTACTCCTCACAGTATTTCTTATTAAAAAAAATGGTTGAGAAATTTAGTTAGGATTTGTGTGTACAGTGCGTGTAAAAAATTACTATTTTTTGTAATTATATGTTCTTTACAATAGAATAATATTGACATTAATTTAAATATGTATGCATATTTTAAATAGTTAAGTGAAGGCACGTAGTCCCACTAGTTTATATGTATCTTCGTGCGTGGTTACTGAGTATGATATAAAAAATGTTTATAAAAGTATATATTTTTAGAGATTATTATCGGAGAGTAATAATTTTAGAACATTTATTAATATAGTGGGACAATTATAACTACTCAAAAAAAACTTTATCAAAGTCACACATGTGAATGAATAAATAAAAAAATAGAAAAAAAATGTATAGCAAAAAAAACTAAGTTCGGCATTCTTTTTAGTTTAGGAACTACTACATATAGTACAACTCTTATTTAATATTTTTCATCTATCTATTGAACAGAGGAATTATTTTTGGCTTTTTTTAGTTTGTGGACTAAATTTAATACAACTTTTAACACAGGGACTATTTATAGAGAGAAAATAGTTTGAAGACTTTTTATGAGTCAAAATTAATGGGTTTTATCTAAAATTTAACAAAATGGATCATTTATGAGACCTTTCTAGAGTTTAAGTACTGTTTATGAAATAAAATTGATTACAAAGACTAATTCTAGAAAGCGAAAACAGTTCAGAGATCATTTATAGATTTATTCCCAACATTATCGTTTCACGACATAGTGGTGGGAGAATCCTCACCATGTGGATTTTCGAGAGCCATTATGTGCTTCTTGAATGAAGTTGCAGCTTCTTCCCTGTCCGGCAGTCTCCCAAGTTTGTCAAATACAATCGCCTTTAAATAGAAAGCTTCAGCCGCCAACTCGTGATACTGTGCATATAACAACTATCATCCCATTAATGAAAAAGACAAAATCAGAATAGACCAACAATCCTACACGTAAAGTATATACACAAGGATAAAGCACAAACTTAGAACAGACAAACCAAGACATATGAATATGAAAATAAAAGCGACGAGAATGTAAAAATAAAAAAAAGTGATGGGCTAAATCCTCATCGCACAAAATGGTGGGTCCCAGTTACCCACTTAACAAGACCCACTTTATGTGAGTAGCAGAATTTTAACCATATCGAAATGAATAAGAGTGCTCATATAAAAAGACCTCAACGTGCAATTGATGCTAGTAGTTTCCTCTCTTCTTAAAGAGCCGAAAAAAAAGGTGGGGTTTTTATGTTCGTTCACTGCTAAGTCATAAATGACGTCGAATTTAAAAAGTTTGAAGGCACTTTGAAGACACAAACTCAAAAAGAAAAAATTTTCAGCAAAAGAACTCAAGGAAAAATTACAAAAAAAATAATAATAATAATAATATAAATTTTATTTTGCCTACAAAAACGTAATTTACGAAGTGTAGTGGTTTTTTTTTCTTCCCCAGCAAACATAAAGACTGCTCTGGATGTCAAAAGGCATGTCCATTAAAACCTTCATATCTAATTCGTGAGAGAGTGAGTGAGAATATTTCATGACAGAAGGTGGCAGTTGGGCACTTACCAACTAGAAACTAGCCAAAGTATTTTAGTCTTTCAAGAATAAGTTTTGATTATCGTATGTCATACATAGGCTATGGAAAGAGAATGACGAGGGGAAAAAAAAACAAAGAACCAGAAACAAACAAAACAAATGAGGTTGAAACGCCGACAGAGTTCAAGATAAAATGCAATCCCATCCTCGGCCAAAAATGAACATGCATTCTACACATTTATATATAGAAATTACTAACCTCTAACACTTGAAGCTCATCAGAAGCTTGAGTCAGAGGATCCAGCACAACCTCAGGACTTTCAGATACTAGAAATGAATCCAAAATACGAAAATAAGTAATAGTTTTAAGCAAATGTTATCAGAGCGTGTCAAGAACAAAATGAATGAGTCAACCTCTGCTTCTAATTTACATATTATTACTTAGAAGAAAATGAAAGTCTCAACTTCTGCTTCTACATATTATTACTTTACAGAAAACACAAGAATTAAAATCCTAACCGGTCCTAACTAGGCTGTTTTGAGAGCATTGTAATATCTATTTGAGTTTATCATCCTAAATAGAGAGATGATACTCTAACTCGCTATGTTAAGTAGGAATATTGCACACAGACATACCTGAAAAGTTTGGATCAGAAAGATAGCACTTTACTTCCACAATATAGGCACGGGCACGGAGCTCCAAACCTCCATGACCAAGAATTGTGGGAAGAACGCCATGTATAAGGGACAAGGCCCTCTTTGCATGGTTTGATCCAAGTGAAAGCCACAACTCAGCCATTGTGAGTACGGCTGATGCTCTGAGAAGATCCAAGTTAAATGACTGGCAAAATGAGAGGCTTGCCAACGCATATGGAAGACCTAAAACAGCATTTCCTGATCTCTGATAAAAACAAATAGTAGAACCTTTTATCCGTAAGATGCAGTTGAACATTATATGTAATCGTATTCGTATAGGGAAAGCTGGGAAAATAAAGTTAAATGAACAAAGAAAATTAAAGAATCACAAAAACAAAAAGGTTGCTTTCAAAATGCAAAGTCACAGGGTAAAGAAAAAAGTACAATGCAGACAGGTTCGTGTTGGAAATCACAGCAGATGTTCAAATATAGGAAATAAACTAACCACTACACCAACAAATTAGCAGTTTTTTTGTTTTTTTTGGGTGAGAAATGTTAGCAGGGGCAAAATCAATGGATGCCTCGAAAAGATAAAAAAATAATTAAAAAATCAATGGGTGCCTGCAAAATCAATAGACTACGTGTTCAGTTCTTTAATTCACTGTACAGGGAAACAAATGAATATTAATCATTAGTGACAGGCTTGCTAAAAAAATTGGCTATTTGGCTCTCACAAATGAACATAGGAGATCCTGATCCAAAATCCAAGTCCTTTATATACATACATCCCCTATTAATTGATTCATTCTATTAGACTGGGTTGTATGAGAAAATCTTCCTAAACAATTGTAGAAACAATGGTTTGTCTTATTTCTTTAGTTTCTTTTTCTCCAAACAAACATTGTTTTGTGTAGGTGTATGCTTAGGGGGAAGGGCGGAAGGTTAAACCCAAACCTCTAGGCTCCAAGCATATAGTGTGGTAAATATAATATTGTACCTTGTGGATTTCTGCGAGCAATAAAAGAGTAGTTGCATTTTCAACTTGCAGATTGAATTTGTAACACATGCAAAAGAGGGAGTGTGCGACCTCTGCTGCCTGCAAAGAACATTGTTCACATAGATTAAAATTTGAAAAATTAAAAGGTTGAAAAAGCATGTTGAGAGTCAGCTTATTGGATACCAGGTTCAAAAATCCTGCACATTGGTTTGCCAAAAGAACATAAAATCTGCTTTGGAGTTGAGAGTTTGACTTTGACATTTTATGAGACACGTAAGTGTTACCAAAAGACAAAAAGGTCGAAATTGTTCAAGAAAATTACACATAGGCAGAGAACAAAAGGAAGAATTAGAGTGCATAAGAACAGATTCCTATGCCTCCTCATTCCAGCATTCTATCTATTCTTAATGCAAATACTCGTGGGGCATCGACTCCACTTAAAGGATAAAGTAGAAGCTCAGCCATACTTTTTGGTCACTGGACCAATTTAGCTCTGAGCTAAGGAATTTAAATGTAACGAAAACCAAACCTCACGGAACTGGTTTGCTGCAAGTAATGTACGAGCACGGCGAAGACCTGCTTCTGTCTTCAGTTCCATGTCCACGCCAGTAACAGATGAGGCCAAAACTCCCAGCTCATCACACACTTGTTGAGCAAGCTTGAGATGTCCTCTACGTGATGCATTAGACAATATAAGCCATAAAAACAAGAGTTAAAATTCATACATATATTGTATGGGGAAAAAATAAAGAAACGAAAAACAACAACTTACTGGTGTAAAGCACACTCATGGAGCAACTGTAGTTTCAGTACCAAGATTCGGGACTTCGAAACAGTTAAAAACTTCTCCTCTGCTATTTTAAGAGCAGCAAATGCCTCTGGAAATGGTAAGTTAAAATATAAAACTCATCAAGGATGACACAACTTATCAACTATTATATTTGCATATGAACAAACATTCATATGTGTGGAAGAGAGAGAAGCAAAAGAGAGATTGCTACTTGTGCAATAAGAAAATGCAATAACTTTGAGAAGGACTATAGTTTTTAAGAGCATGAATTAATATGCTAGTATGCCAAATCAAGGGACAAGAAGAAAGCAAAACAGCTGTATAGGATAATTTTAAATTCCAACACAAATACGTCAACCGAGTAGCATGATATATCATGACCACAAATTCTAGAGGGGCACCTTCTCACCACAGAATAGGAGCGTATTTACCAAACCTTAAAGGAATATGTTGGCGCCAATAATCTAGGATTTGTGATTAACTCTGTTTTTATTTATTACTCTGATGTTGTAGTTAGGTAGTTCCGGATTATTAGCTTAGGAAGTTAGGTTTTTAATTTTTAAATAAACTCAATTATATCCAAAGTATCAAGCCACCAGATTAGGAGTTAGTTTTAGAGTTAGTTTCAATCAGAGGCTTCCTAAGCCTATTTATGTACGTGAATCTCCATTCAATATTAATCATCAGAGTTTCATTCAAACCTGTTTACATGGTATCAAAGCCAGAACTCTGAGACTCGTTCATGGTAAAAACAACCATGACAAGACCTGCACGAGGGGGAGCAGATGACTCCACATCGACTACCACCGATCCCTCTAGCCAAACACAAGCGGAACAAGCCTCTATCCCGACGTTTCAAGGAGACAATACTTCTCTCTAGATTATTGTGCACAAACTCAATGGCAAAAATTACCTTCAATGGTCCCAATCCGTCAAAATTGTGATCTGTGGCAGAGGAAAGTTAGGTTACATCACTGGTGAAACAAAGCCTCCAGCAC